GAACTTAACATCTCTAGAAATAAAAACAATTTTGCTGCCAAGATCATACAAGATGTAGCCCTTTACATTAGCTAGAATTCCCAAGAAAATGCACTTCCTAGCCTTGGATTGCATCTTGTTCCTTCCATGTGATCAAATGGTTGAACCAAAACATAGACAGCCAAAAGATCTTAGCTGATCATACTCCATATCTTTTCCAGTTAGAACTTTTCGAGGGGTTTTACCATCAAGCACCTTAGTGGGCAACCTATTGATGAGATATGAAGCATGCAGCACACAATGACCCCAGAATTGTATAGGCAAACTAGACTGAAAGCTTAAGGCCCTAGCAACATTTAAGATGTATTGATGTTTTCTTTATGCTATCTCATTCTGTTGGGGTGTATAAACACAAGATTTTTGGTGCACAATCCCTTTTTCATTGAAGAAGGCAGTCATCATAAACTCACTTTCATTGTCTGTCATCACCACTTTGATTCTAGTTGAAAAATATGTGCTGACATAGTTGTAAAAGTTTTGAAATGTAGGTTTGACTTCTGACTTAGTCCTCATTAAGTGAAGCCAAGTAAATATGTTGTGATCATAAACAATGGTTCGAAAATAATGGTATCCTTTGAGATATGCTACTGTGAATGGTCCCAGAGATCCATATGTATTAAGTTAAAACATTTCTCAACTCTAGAATTACTGACAGGAAACACATATCTTTTGTGTTTAGCATAGTGACAAGTATCACACACAAAATCAGAATGCTTATGAAGATTAGTATTCTTTATTCCATTCAAAGAGAACATTTTATTGATAGGATAGTGACCAAGTCTGTTGTGCCACAACTCTACTAACAGACTATTACATTTCATATTGACAACTCTACTAACAGACTATTACATTTCATATTGAAAATTCTATCAGAATACTAAGGCTCTTTCTTGACAGGGGGATTATTGATCAAATACAGCCCACCTTTCTCCTTAGCAAAACCATCCATCATTCCAAGAGGACCCTGGATAGCACAACGATCAGCTCCCATAACAATTTTCTGGCAAGATTGTCTCGTCAGTTTATTGACAGATATAATATTGAAATTGAATGATGGAATATATAGCACATTTTGAAGAACTATATGTTCATCAAGTCTAATCTGTCCAATGTGAGTGACACCTACCACATTTCCATTAGGCAATTTTATAGAAATCCCATGGACTTTATGACAGCTTTCAAAGTATTCCAAAGAACAAGTTATATGGTCAGTTGCCCCTGAGTCTACTATCCAGATGGTAGGAGAATTTAAAACAGAATTAACAATATGAGAATTAGAGATAAACCTCATTGCCAGAGTTTGTGAAGTTTGATCTCATCCCAGGAGAGGCAATTGTCACAGCAGCACTTGTTGACCCTTGATTCTCCTTATTCTGATTTTGCAGGAGGGATAACAGCCTTTGAAATTGATCAGTGGACAACCCTATGTCTCCAACCTGATTCACAGAGGTATTGGATAACTGTTGCACCTCTTGAACCTGTTTATTTTTGGATTTATAGCCTGCAACCAAGCCAGGTGGGTAGCCATGCTTTTTGTAGCATTTCTCAATAGTATGACCAAGCATGCCACAGAAGGTACACTTAGGCACATTCTTCCCTCCATTGCTGTTAAATTTCTTCCTACCATTAGAGGCTGAGACAGCCACAACAGACTGTTCTTCTCCAGATTGTGGTTGGTTGTTTTATATGGCATTTGATTGAACAAAGTCACCACTCTTATGATTGATTGAGTTTCTTATTTTTCTCTCTTCTTTCAAAGTCATATTTGAGAACCTTCTCTATGTCTAGCATGGGGTCCATAACAAGAACCCCTGATTTAATGCTCTCATACTCATCATTCAATCCTTCCAAGAACCTAATTATCTGATCATCGATCTTCCCTTTCTTTCTGCATTTTAGTCATGAGTGTGCAAGAACATCTAGGCATACATTCACATAGGAGTAGGGGTCTTAAGTCATTCACTTGCTGCCATAATTAGGGCATTGCACTTGGTGAAATATTCATTTACTGACATACTGCCTTGAGTGTTCCTAAAAATCTCATTCTGAATTTCTAAAATCCTATGGGGATCAGATTTAGAATACCTCTTGTTGAGAGCTTTCCAAATCTCTGAGGCTTTGTCAAAATACATGATGCTTTCTAGAATAGTAGGGCTCCACACTGCACATTTTGGATCAGTCACTTCTGGACATGGAACTGATCCATCAATGAATCCGAGTTTGTTCTTGACCTCTAGGGGTATCCTCATCGATCTGCCCCATGAGGCATAATTGATTTATGACAGCGGAGGTGAAACAAGGATCATATTAGGATTTTCTGCTACGTGAAGGTAGAATGGATCATCGACCTCATCGTTGCGAAGATTCATTGAATTCTGAGTTGAAGAACTTGTTGTGAACTGTGTTTGATTTTGATTTCCATCACGGCCGCCGGCAGTCTCCGTCGCTACTACCGCCGCATATCTCCGGTGTGGCTCTGATACCATGATGAACTAAGACAAATCACATTAACATATCATGCAAGCTAAGCTGAAGGGAAAACTGGAGTGTGATCATTGTAGAGAGTAGAAGTGTATGTTACAATTGGAGGGAAAAAGGAAAAAAGAAATATATACAGGACAAGCAGTTATAACTGCCACAATAGAAGGAAAAGACACTAATGCCCTTAAGGCTTTGACTGTAGCTGTTTAGCTTGCCGGAAGGTGACTGTTGGAAGATGGCTGCTTGGCAGGGGCGGACCCAGCATGGAGGCAGCTGCCCCCCCCCCCCCCCCTCCTCCCCCACCCCACCCCACCCGCACCCCATATATAACCCTTGTATGTATAAATGTATATATAGTACAAGTTTTAGTATATGTATAACAAAATAGATAAAAGTTAACAAAAGATGACTATACCAAGTGGCAATGCGTTTATGTTATATTTTTTATGACTTTTAAATACTTCGTATTAATTAATTGTGAGATTTACACAGACATATATATAATTTTCTTTTATATTAATAATGAGATGTGTTTATAATGTATTTCTTATTCGAATTATTTATCAAATTAATTATATTTCATATTTTGTTATGAATATTTTTTATAAAGTTTTGATGTGTTTTATTTTTCGTCCACATCCAACAATATTTATTCTATACTTTTAAGTATTTTATTTTTTTTTATTAAACTATCTCTTTTGTTTTAATGCATTTCACCCCCACTGAATAAGTTTTCTGGATCCGCCACTGCTGCTTGTGAGTCCTTCGTCAAAGACGAGCAATCCATTATACAACATTTATCTACACATAATAATCTGTCTAGTCAAAAAAGTCAAAAAGATTTTTAATTGTCATCTGATTAGTTAAATCATGTTCTCAAATACCATGCACCTGGCCAGCCTCTATATGTCTTTATCCATTGATTATCTATCAACTGTAATTAGCTCAAATTTTGAATAAGTCGTTGATGGCTTGCGATCGAATTGACATTTACAAATTACAAATAATTAATTTAATTATTCATAAAAATATCACAGACTCTTTCTATTTATAATGATAAGTACCTTATTTTTTGACAGTGTAGAATTTCCATTGTCTAGATGACGACCTAATGTTTCATTTAAATAAATTAATAGGTTTTAAAAACTGTAAAATCACACTTTTGTTCTCTCAATTGTTAGAATTATAAATCTTGTCACTCAGCTCTCTTTTAATTTTTACAAATTTGCTTCTTTAATTATACTGTGTTAAATAAGATATAAATTCAACCACTTGACTAACTGAGAAATCAACCTCTATTTGAATCTAAGATTTTATATTTAAAAATAATAATAATAAAATAGATTTGAAGTTACAAATTTCCTGGTAACTTAAATATATATGAAGTTTGACTTTCTAGTGAGTAAAAAAAAAAAAAAAAAAAAAAAAAAAAAAAAAAAAAAAAACTAATTTTACAACTGTTAGAAATTATGTTTTACAAATTTTGATGATGCTAAGTAAATTATATAGACAAACTATCATGTAGCTAGTGTGATGGCATCCTAGTTACCATTACAAATGGGTGGTCCTAAGTTTGAACCTCGGTGATGGAGACTTAGATTTTAAAATTAAATTTGAACTGAAAATGTTTGAGAAAGTATACACCTAATATTAACTTGTAAAGACTCATGAGTATTAAAAAAAAAAAAAGAAAAAAAAAAGAGTAAATTGTGTTGACAAATTCAAGTTAATACCATCTGAGGTCCTCCGAGTATAGTGGTTTTGCCACGTTTAGTCTTAAACGTTCAAATTGACCATTTGTGGTTCTTGGACTTTCAATTTTAACCATTCATGGTCCAAGTTAACCATTCATGGTCCTTCAAGTTTCGAAATTTAACCAGTCGTGGTCCTCTTAAAAGGACCATGGTTGGTTAAAATTTAATAGTTGAAGGATCATGGGTGGTTAACTTGGACCACAGATGGTTAAATTTAAAAGTCGAAGGACCACAAATAATCAATTTGAAAGTTTAGGACTAAACGCGGCAAAATCACTATACTCGGAGGATCTCGGATGGTATTGACTCTGGCAAATTAATACCCACTAATCAAAGAGTAATTTTCTAGTTTTAGAATAACTTATAAATTAAAGGCCAAAAATAGGACTCAAACAAATTAAACCATTAAGCCTAGCTTGGGTACAATTGGCAAAGTTAATCAATGGTGCTAGATGTCTCTAGAAAGATTTAGAATATATGCTGATAGCAAAATTGCTAAAACAGCATATATGCTCACCAACAAAAAACTTTCCAAGAGGATTGGTAGGCGATAGATGTCTCTAGAAAGATTTAGAAAAAAAAATTAGAAGAGAAAATCCATAAATAAGGAGTCCAAGTTATTTTTGTGTTGCATTTCATACTTTGAATAGTTTGTACTAAAGCCGCGTGAAAGACAAGCAAGCCATTCATCTACACATATAATTTGTCCAGTCAAAAAACTCAATAGAGATTGTCTCAAACTTCTTTCAACGTTCTCAACAGTGTATATATACTGTGACAAAAAACATCAAAATGGAAAGGGGGGTTTTCGAAGCTGCACTAGAGGGAGATGTAGCAACCTTAAAGAGGTTGTTACATGAAGATCCTTTGATTCTGGATCGAACCATAGTGAACACTTATTCCGAGACCCCATTGCATGTTGCAGCGATGTTGGGGTACCATGATTTTGTTAAGGAAATCATTACAACAAAACCCCAACTCGTTAAGGAGTTGAACTCGAAGCATTCCTCCCCTCTTCACCTCGCGGCGGCCAAAGGGCACGTTGATGTGGTTAGGGCTTTGGTGTTAGCTGATCCCGGGATGTGTAAGGGCCGTGATAGAGATGGCCTAACTCCGCTCCACCTGGCAGCCATGAAAGGAAGACTTGAAGTATTGAAGGAGTTGATTGATGCAATAAGGAAGTCTTCTAGAAGTGGAGGATTGGTTGATATGATGGGTGTGGATGATGAGCGGTTGGGAGAGACCATTTTGCATTTGTGTGTTAAGCATAGCCAGTTGGAGGCGTTGAAGATTCTAGTGGAGATGATAGGAGATGGTGGTGAGGGTTTTGTGAATCAGAGAGATAGTTTTGGCCACACCATTCTGCATCTTGCAGTGGCAGATAAACAATTTGAGGTATGTATATATAGTATGTTTTCTTTTTTAATCTTATCATATCTAGAATGGTAATTTCGATCTGCCCCGGATATCCACACGAATCCATCCTGTATAGGTCGGGTGTTTTGAGTGATAGTGGGTGGTGGGTCAGGGTGAGTTTTAAAAAAAGTAAACTCGCAGTGGGTCAGGTTGAATTCAAGTTCTATGTACAAAATCCGCCTACAACCCAACTCGACTCAATATATATATATATATATATATATATATATATATATATATATATATATATATATATATATATATATATATAGTTTTACACGCGTAATAGAATTAGTTAATGCCAATGGTTATAATTAAATAAATATTTGAATGTATATTAAGTAATATAATGTCGAATTTGTATGTTTAAATATATAACTCATATGAATACAATGTAATATAAGAGATTCATTATAATTGTTACTAAATTTTTTTTAAATAGTAACAAAGTATTATTGCTGCAAAGGATTCTAATATATTTAATGAATGCACATATATACAAGACCAATGAATGAATCAACGGTACCAGTCCTTTATGTTTTGCTCAGAGTTCAACCATTATTGTTGAATAAATTATTATGGATAAAGAAATTCCTAATATAAAGAATTTAGATGTAGTAAAAATTTAAAAATTATAATTATAATGTAACCCAAAGATAAAAATGTTAAAGAAAGTGTTTAGTTATTCAAGAGTTTGAAACAACAATTAATACCAAATCACTGAAAACACAAAAATTGCAATTTACAATATTTTCATTTAGCGTTTACTGTAGAACCATTTTGACTCCTTGAATAACAAAAGCCAGTTTTGCTGGCTCACTGTTTGCCCATCAACGGATGGGCAAGCTTAATTTTTAAATTGGAGCCCTAAGGCTCCTTTTATAGGAGCCTCAAGGCTCTCATGCCACTTTTTTCATCGATGTGGGAAAAGTGGCAAAACTAAGAAGAGTCGAACGTTCGGTTCCCCATATGTTTTATTATTTGTATTTTTTAAAAATTTTTATTTCTTTTATTAAATTATTTTTATTTTTATTTTTATTTTTTTAAAACTATTATTATTATTAGGGAAAATGGCACTTTTTCCCTCTGTGTTATATACTTATAGCACTTTTTCCCCCTAAATTATTTAGGTGGCAGTTTTTCCCCCTGATATATTAAATGGACATATTTACCCTTAAAATAAATATTTTATTTATTTTTCTTCTCCAACAAATTATAACCACGATTTGGAAAAATAAAATACATTAATTGTTGAATTTTTCGAATACTTTAAAAATAAAAAAAAAATTAAAATAAAGTTTGAACCAACAGTTCAAATTGGATCCGAAATCGTGAACCGACGATTCAAAATAGAAACCAAATCGCGATTATATATACTTATATGTGAGAGTCAACATAAATGCGAAAAAAAAAAAAAACATACACTATTTACAAATATTATAATTCTAATTTTAAGCTATTGCTACTAGTTGTTCTGATTTGAACCTCCGGTTCACGGTTCAGGATCCATTTTTTTCCAGTTCATGATTTTAATAAACGGAAACCCAAATATTGGGTTATGTTATGAATTATAACCGAAATTTTTTTATTTGATTGCTATAGTGTTCGGTTCAGTTCGAACCGAACCGTGGTCATCTCTACGTATAAGCAATAATTTGTTGAAGAAGATAAATAAATAAAATATTTATTTTAAGGGTAGAAATGTCCATTTATAATTATAAGGGGGGAAAACTGCCACTTTTATAATAATTGAGGGGGCAAATGTGGATGCATGAATAACTCAGGGGGAAAAAGTGCTATAAGCATATAACACAGGGGGGAAAAGTGCCATTTTCCCTTATTATTATTATTATTATTATTATTATTATTATTATTATTATTATTATTATTATTATTATTATTATTATTATTATTATTATTATTATTATTATTATTATTACCCTTAGGTCATTTTACATGTTAATCTAAACAGCTAATTTTTTTAAATATCTTTTTACCCACCATTGATATAATTCGCTGGTCAAATCTGCTAATATAATCCGCTAATGCTAAACGCTAACTGCTGATTGTCATACAAGGACATTGCCATGTAGTTTCTCACTTCAATTTGTCGTGTGATTTGAATACTCTCTTTGTTAACAAATCCCTCAAGTAGTTAATATGGTTGGCTTTATTAATTATATTTTTTTTAATTTTTTCATGGTATTAATAAAATACTTGGTAAATAAATATATAGCATTATTTTGTATTATAAATTTGATATTTAATTAAAAAATAGTGCACATAAAAGATAATAGACAATGTAGTGAATGTAATCAATTGATGAATTTGAATGTAAAGAAATTTTACATTGGAGAAAAATAAAGACAATATAACTAATGAAATTATTTCTCTTAATTAATTTATTGATAATGAATTTTTTTTTAATAAAGACATTATAGAGGCAATGTAGCGAATATAATCAAAAAAAATAGTCATTATCAATAAATTAATTAATAGAAATAATTTTATTAGTTATATTTTCTTTATATTTCTCAAATGTAAAAATTCTTTACATTCAAATTCATCAATTGATTAAATTCACTACATTATCTATTATCCTTTTTGTGCACTATTTTTTAATTAAATATCAAAGTTATAATACAAACTAATGTTATATATTTATTTACCAAATATTTTATTTATACCATGAAAAAATTAAAAAAAATATATAATTAGTAAAGTCAATCATATTAACTACTTGAGGGATTTGTTGACAAAGAGAGTATTCAAAACACAACAAATTGAAATGAGAACTACTTCGCAATGTCCTTGTTTGACAATCAGCAGTTAGCGGATTATATTAACGAATTTGACCAGCGAATTATATCAACGATTGATACAAAGATATTTGAAAAAATTAGCGATTTAGATTAACATGTAAAATGACGGGTATAATAATAATAATAATAATAATAATAATAATAATAATAATAATAATAATAATAATAATAACAATAACAATAACAATAACAATAACAATAACAATAACAATAACAATAACAATAACAATAACAATAACAATAACAATAACAATAACAATAACAATTGTTTTTAAAAACATTAAAAAAAATATAATTAAACCAATCATATTAACTACTTGGGGGGATTTATTGACAAAAAGAGTATTCAAATCACACAACAAATTGAGGTGGGAAACTACCTCGCAATGTCCTTGTTTGATTTCAACCATACATAAACAATTATTTTATTGACAATTATAATCAATCTTGACTATATTATCTTGCATTTGTAAACTTAGAATTACCTATTTAAATACGCAAATTCAACAATTCAATTATCTATGCATGAACAATTCCAATATAATCTTGTCCTAATATACTTTAAAGTACTTATTTAAAAAAAAAAAAAAAAAAAAAAAAAACATTGGGCATTATCCCAATCGCGCAATGCGCGTAAAAAACTAGTTTACTTTTTTTTTTTTTTTTTGATAAAACATAACAACTTCATTAATGGCTTAGCAAATGAGAAATACATGAAGGTGGGATAACAGCCAACACTCCTGAGACAGACAAAGAATCGGTTGCGCGAGCTAACTCATGAGCCACACGATTCGTTGATCTCTTGACATTCCCTATGTCACAAGCAATTGACAAACATTGCTTCACAAGCATACCTACATACGAGTAATCTACTTCACAGGAATTGAAAGCATTACAGAAATTTAAGCAATCAGATTCCAGAATGATGTTGTTCTGACGAAGACCTTTCAGCCATGTTAATGCTTCTTTTGCTGCGAAGACCTCTGCCATGAACGCATCCTGAGTACACGTAAGCCTGCCACATTTTGCTGCCACAAACCGGCCGTACTGGTCACGGACAATAGCTCCGTTGCCTGCATTGTCTAAGAATATGGTTGCATCTATATTGCATTTGAGGGTATTAAATGGTAGAGGTTCCCATCGGACTGAAGATCGAGTTTCTTTCCTCCGTCGCTCGTGGATTTCCAGCGAACGTCTCCTTCCATGATGCCCTCAATCTCTCGACTTGAACTCTCATTCCCTCCACAGATGGTACGATTTGCCTCCATACCAAGTCGTTCCTCGCCGTCCAGATTGTCCAGATATTCGCAACCAATAGGACAGCATGTTCGACGTCTGGATCGCTCTTTTTGATTTCCATGAATTGTTGCAAGCTTTGTCCCTGTATCAACTCCACTTCACCCCATAGTCCTCTAGCGTAGACACATTCGCAGAAGATGTGTTCGCATGTTTCCATCGTAAAACTGCAGAAGGGGCATCCACTTCCTAACCATACCATCTTTGTCTTTAGATTCTCGCGAACCGGCATAACACCACGAGTGCAACGCCACAAAGGTTTCTGACTTTAGGAGGTATTGGTAATGACCATAGTTTTTTCCATGAATGGAATCTGTTATCAGTAGGCAGAATATCTACATTGGTGAGTGCACGATATCCATGTTTCACCATATACATCCCCCGTATGTCACCTAACCATCTCCATGAGTCCTTGAACTGAGAATTTACTGGCGTCGTGAGGATCTTCTGCACATCGTCTTCCTGGAATAAATCTTGCACTACCTCCACGTCCCATGTTCCCTGTTCATCAAGAAGCCCGTGTACCGTAACCTCCTTTAAGTGATCGCTGCAAGGGGTAGACAAGGTTGGGCTCGATGGATCAGAGAGCTATCCCATCCCCATATCCTTGTGTCTTTTCCATCATTAATTCGGCGAGCAATGCCCAGCTTCAGAACCTTTTGCCCCGCCAAGATGTTGCGTCAAATATAACTGGGGTTACTTCCTATCTTTGCCTCCATGAAATCACAACCAGGGTAGTATTTAACTTTCAACATTCTGCTAACCAAAGATTCTGGATGGATCAACAGACGCCAACCTTGTTTTGCTAGGAGTGCCATGTTGAATTCGTGGAGCTTCCGGAATCCTAGGCCACCCATGAAT